AGGACCACTACGTAAGTACAAAACCAATGAACATACATATATTGAAAAACTTCATAGTATAAAGTCATCCATCATCTATATTATAAAGAGATGTTCTAAACATATTTTAAATATCATATCGTCATCCATAAGATATTTTATAAGAACACGGGTTATAGGAAAAATAGTAATAATTCAAACTAGCCTCAGTAAGCATGTTATCTCGTAAAATGTTTCATAAAACATAGTCATCAAATCATGCTTTTCATGTATACATTTCTACTATCAAAACATGCGTTTTTAGAAGGGGTCCACTCACAGTACTTAGCTGCTGAAGAGCCACGCAACTAGCGAAGATAGAACTCCACAATTAATTGGCCCTAAGCACATACAGGGTACATTTAGTCAAACTCTACTTAAACGATTGAATTTGGGAAAACGGACATCGGAAACGGGTCCAGAACATTGAAATTAGCCTAGGATGAGTCACACATGAAAACCCAAAAAGTCAACGATCAAAGTCAACGTTGACCAGTCAAAGTCAACGTTGACCGTTGACCGGGTCAACGGGTCAAAGGTCAACTGGGTTTGGGCTTAAAGGGTTTGGACCTAATGGGTTTTAGAGTTTAAATAAATGGGTTTAGGGTTAACAGGCCGAAGGCCTTAAAAGGAAATAGCCCAAAGGCCTTTAACAAATAATTTAAAACAAAACAAAATAATAAAAAGGGCTTGGGCTTGGGAATGAAACGGGCCTTAGGCTGAAGGCCTGGCCCAGTAGCCATTTGGGTTTTTATAAAACTAAATAAATAAATAGATAGATTAAAGGATTTGGGTTGGGTTTAAAAGGATAACGGGCCTAAGGCCCAAGGTTTGGCACGGCCCAAAGGGCCTGGTTCAAAAGGATTTGGGCTAGAAAGCCCAGCCTAAGTTCAAACCATGGGTCACCAGACCCAATCGAAGGAGAAAGCCGGATTCCGGTCGAAAAATTCCTGAGCTCCGATGGAGCTCAAAACTCAACCAAAACATGTGATTCAAAAATGAAAACAGTAGCTCTCAAAGAGACAAAGAGAATGGTACCTCGCACGATGTCCAACTCGTTGTGGTTTGGTCGGAAAACACCTCGAAAGCCTCGGAGGTCACCGGAAACTGGGTAAGATTCAAAAGGATATAACTTATTCAATACTCCATGAAATTAGGTGAAACAAAAAGGAAAGTTATAGTACTCGGCGAGACGAAGAGATTGATACCTTGCACGCCGGCCAACTTGCCGTGGTTTGGCCGGAAATTCCTTGAAAGGGGCAGTGCTCGTCGGAAAATTTGGAAAAACTACTCCGAGCTATTTTCTGCGATTCAAATGTATACACAACTTAAAAAAAGCTTCGATCTAACCCTAAAACACAACCCAAGCGTTTTTAGAAGCTTACCAACATCGGAAAAAAATGAAACACGTCGAAGAAGATGATGAACAGTACCGGCCGAATGGAAGATAAGGGTTTGTGGTGTTCTTTCTTTGTTTTTGAGAACACAAGGGTGAAGGTGATGATGTTTTGTTGTTGTGGTGATTGATGATGAGGGAGATGAGGGTGTGCAGGGAGGGAGAACACGGGTGAGAGGGAGGGAGAGTCAAAGGGAGTGATAAGGGAGAGTGAGGAAGAAGACAGAACTGAGAGAAAAGGGAGAGAGAGATCGGGAACACAAATCAGGGATGGGCCCCTTGGGCACACCATTTAAGACCCAAAAACCATTTTAAAAAGGAAAATACCCCAACGTAGTGAAAATACAAAAATACCCTTTTTGTTCCATAAATCCCAGGACGGGTTGTTACAAAATAAATATTTAGAAGGTAAATGTTTGTTCACTTGGTCTATTAGGTTAATTTTTGTCTAAATGTGTGATCCGAATCTAACAAGCTAATGCATGCAAGCACACATGTACATATGGTGTCAGCCATGAGCTTCATATCTAAAAACAAAACAGATATTCGTTTGAAACATTGAGAAGCAAGGTTGATCTTGAGATTTTGGGGGTCATAAGCAAAACTTAAATGAGGCCCCTAAAATCATAGTTGATCTGTATATGGTTTTTTTTATTTGAAACAAATAGGTATAGATATATAGCGACATTACCAATTTGGATCACATATTCATGGAAGGACCCACATGATTACTGACCCATCAATTAGTTTTGGTAATTAAATAAGGTACAATTGCAAATGTATGTAAGAAACATGTCATTGTGCAATTTTGTGGCAAATTAATGAGAATAAGGACTTAGAACCAGACCTGTGGAAATAAGGATGTGCCTCTAAGGAGGTAAAGTGAAGGATGAATTGAGTAAACTAGTGTTGCCCAGCAATTTGCAGCCCAAAAAGAGCATCAAAGATATCCAAGTTGATGGCCTAAACTAATTTTTCCATAGGCATACCATGCAGGACTATACTTTGAAAGCAAAATCTGGAGGTTACCTTCTCACCATCTCTTATATTGCACAAGCTTATCAACTCACAACACACCCTCTCATATGTGATCAATTTTCAAGTCTACACGTAGACAACAAATTAGGTGAATGTATGAGTACGTGTTGCCCTTGGGCTTTCAAAACAAGGACAACCTACTTTAATACCACATAGAATTTGGGATTCCCTCGTAAACCAATTGGCAATACGAGAAGTAGTCCAATATCTTATAAACCTTGCATTGATCTATCTCTCACCGATGTGTGGGACACTTTGTTCTCAAATCATCAACACTCAATAATTATATATATGTTTCTTATATTATATAGGGTAATTCTAGGGAGACTAAATTTTGTAAACTAAATGACATGAAAGTTGATGATTGAATTTTTACTTAAGTATTGATTAACATGCTTATTTCTTATTGATAACACATCATTTAGTTTGCAAATTAGTCTACAAATTTAGTTTACCTACATTATTATATAACAAGTTAACTTGTTTAAAACAAGAAAAAAAATAAAAAAAGTAGGTACCTTGGAAACCGAGTGTCATTAAAAGTCCTGATGGAGAGATTTTTCAGTGTGACCGATATATGGGATGGTACACCACGTGTTACTATACAAATGATGAGATATATGTTTTAAAAAGTCAATAATTTAAAAAGTAAAATTTCTCACTATTTATATAAAAACACGTGGTGTACCCTTGTATTCTAGTCACAATGAAAAATGATGGGGTTTGGAATATCACCACAACCTTCAACATTGATTCCCCTCCGTTGCCTATACTTCTCGATCATATAAGAGGTGTCATCAGTATTAAGGTGCTGCTTTCCAGTGTGCTGCCTTGGGGCTTACAAGAGGTGCCATAAGTATTGCGGTCGTGCGTTTCATACGTGCTGCCTTGAGTAGTATACTCCTTGACTTTCCCGACCTTGTAAGAGGTGCCATCAGTAGTAACTTCCCTCTTGAGGTCCTGCGTTTCAGATGTGCCACCTTGAGCAGCAATTTTCCTCCGCTTCCACGTATACTTCGTGACCTCGCTGGCTGTATTTGAGGTGTCTCGAGCAGCATCAGCATCATAATGCTGTGCTAACCATTCTGAGCGACGACATCCGCTCGTAGCACCACCACCGATAGCATCCAACCCACTGAAACAAACAACACAAAATTATTCAAGTTTTTCAATCACCTCTCGGTCGGGTAACTACTAACTACTAACAAATTTTAGCAAGTTTAAATTCGTACCCACAATTCCCCACATGAGAGAGAGAGAGAGAGAGAGAGAGAGAGAGTGAGAGAGAGAGAGAGAGAGAGAGAGAGAGAGAGAGAGAGAGAGTGTGTGTGTGTGTGTGTGTGTGTGTGTGTGTTTGTGTTAACTTCTTCATTCTTGTTTGACAACGGTAAGAATTTGAGTCATCAGAGCGCTTCGTCATATTCAAGATAGCTAAAGCTAGGGTTTCTGAACTTTGGTAGCAATCATGATCATGGTCGAATTTTTGACCACGTAGGGTTTTTTTGTTGTTGTTTTTAATTAGGTTTCTGATCTCGGGCATTCTAGTTGATAATCTGATTCTGCTCATAGGCAACAATATGTTTTGAAAGATAATTAAATAGACCTCCCTGTATATGGATCTCTGACTTCAATCCTTGTTCATGTACAAAACCCTAGTTGCATTAGGATATTACATATTAGTGTCTTGTTGACCGTTTCCCTTCTTTTCCTTCTCAGTTTAGGGGGATTTACGTGCATGGCCCCACTTTAGTTGTTTTCCTATTCAGTTTGTTTTTGCTCACCATTAATATCCATGGATTTAACAATTGATTGGCAATCTAAACTAACCATTAATATATCTTCTTCATGCGGTTGTTTTGGTTGTTTGTTTCACTTGTGGCATGGGCACAAGACGAATGACTGTTGAATGAGTGTCGATGACTGAGAGTGACTATGAATACACTACAAGAAAAAGCTTCACTAGCTTGAGAGGTTTCAGCGTCTCTACTTTTGTTTATATCGTTAAACAATAGAAACAATGCTTCTACAAATTCACTAGCTTTAGAGTTAGCTATATCTCTACTTTTGTTTCTACTTTCGTTTATATCTCTAAAGCTTCACTAGCTTTAGAGTTAGCTATATGTCAAGCCTTGTGAGGGTTGACCAAAAGTCCAACTTGAGTTGGTACCGTTTAGACCCCGCTTTCCGTTTTAATATTCAAAAATCTAATGAGGGTCTCTAAAAAAATAGAATTTTTATAAATTTTCTGTTACCTTATACTTTTAGAACAATGTTTTATAATGTTGATATGAAATTAACGTTAAAATGTTAAGTGACAAAATTTATAAAAAATCTCACTATGAAAGTGTCCACGTGCAATTTCTCTTCCTCTCAAAGCAATCAACCTCTAGATAGTAGAATGTTCAGTGCATCTAATACAATAACATTAAAAATTTGAATAACTCCAATAGGCGCTTGTGCTAATATAATATCCATTCTGCCGTAGGTGGCTCACATAATTGGTAAATAATTGTCAACAATGTTAGGCTGTGGCCGACAATAAATATAACCATATCTATCGTTCTCTGTTATTTTAAGATAGAGAGAGACAGAGAGACAGAGAGAGCTGAGCTGAGCTGAGAGAGGTTTGAACTAGATGGGAAATGAAGGGTATTTGTCGTTGTTCGAGACGAGGAGAGCCAAGGGAACAGTCCTGTATAGGGTTTTTGCGGCATCTATATTTGCAGGAATATGTTTGATTTGGGTTTATAGATTGAGTCACATACCAAAAGCAGGAGAAGATGGAAGGTATGGTTGGATTGGACTATTGGGTGCTGAGATATGGTTTGGTTTTTACTGGCTCCTCACTCAGGCCTCCCGGTGGAACCGTGTGTATAGGTACACCTTCAAAGATAGGCTATCTCAAAGGTACTTTCGTGTATGTATTTCTAACTTCATACTCTTTTTTTTTATATTTGTTATCCAACAAGTATCATTCATGAAATTTGAACTCATATACGAGAATGAATTGCCGGGAGTGGACGTATTTGTGTGCACGGCAGATCCAACCATTGAGCCGCCGATGATGGTGATTAACACGGTTTTGTCAGTGATGGCTTATGATTATCCGCCGGAGAAGCTGAGCGTCTATCTGTCCGATGATGGCGGGTCGGAACTTACGTACAATGCTCTCTTGGAGGCTGCTGAGTTTGCAAAGCATTGGATACCATACTGCAAGAGGTACAAAGTGGAGCCAAGGTCACCTGCTGCTTATTTTGTCACAGATCTGCTGATGCAATTGATGATGATCAGGCTAAAGATTTCTGGGTTACTAAGGTACACAAATTTTTCTGTATTGGATCAAATTCAGAATTTGTGTTACTTATTATATTCGTGACAGCCCAAAAAGCCAAGAAGATAACGTAAAGATAACGATTAAATGGGTCAACTTATTTTTGTTTTTCCCAAAACGGCAAAGCATGAGTTATGGGTTTCCTCATGTGTAATGGTGAATGTTTTTAACCACTTAATCTAAGAGTTCTTATCTCTACTAATTAATTAAACTCCTTTTGTCAATCAAAAGAGGATGAAAAGACAAATTAGTCTTCTATCACACAAAAAAAATGATGGGCAATGCTGTAATTTCACAAGTTCAAATTTTACAATTTTTTATTGAAACCTCACCTACAGGTGATGTTAAAATACCTTCAATATCAAAAAAAAAAGGGGCTTTTGGATCTAGGTCCAAAAACTTAGATAGTTTTTGGGACTGAGTCCAGTTATCCAATTACATATTTTGATATCAATTTTGCCCCTTCAGATAAAAATATTTAACTTCTTTAATTTTTTTATCATTTATTCAGTTTTTAAATTTGAATATTTAAATACTCAAACTAAAATATTGTCTATTAACTACCTACTATTTATGAAGAAAACAAGACCGATATAATCTAGTAACTACCTACCTATTGTATAGGAAGAAAATGCTTTATACCTACAAAGCAGATATAATCTACCCGCAAAACAAAAATAAACTACCTATTGTATTGAAAGAAAAATGCTGGGAACCTACATGGCGGAACATAAAAATATAAATATGATATAATATACCTCCATTAAAGGAACGAATTTGGAGGGAAGAACACAAAAATATCACCCATGAAAAGAAGAGACAAAAAAGAGGAGGATTGATAGAGGGAATTGTTTGGAAGAAGGAAAAAATGAGGGATGAAACAGACTGGGGGTTGAGGTGATTATATGACTATAACTAATCCTACAATTAAGGGATTAGTTAAACCACAAATTATCTTATAATTAAGAAATTTTGTGTATATACTACAATTCATAAACCTAAGGGGTAAATATGGTACAAACCACAAATAAACATACATGGAATCTCAATTATTGGACCTATTTCAATGAAGTGGACTAATTCTATTAATCTCTCACAAAATTGGATCTATATCAAGTTATCCCAAAAAAAAAAACCTCCCACTCCCCCATGTTCTCTCTCTCCCTCTCTCCTTCTCATTTTCTAAAAAAATGTGTTCATACACACAAAATGTGTAGGCAAATGCTAGTAACTATTTTGAAAGCCGTATCTGTGGGATATATCAATTGAATATAACAAATTCAAAAGGGCAGGAGACTAAATATTTAGTTATATTTGTAAATTATATGATATCATTGTTAATGATTGAATTATTATTTAAGTATTAATTAACGTGCTTATTTTTTTTTATTAATGACACATCATATAATTTATAAATTTGGTCTAAAAATTTGGTTTACTTAGCATTACTCAATTTGCAAGACAAAAGAGGATGAAAAGACAAAAGAGGGTGAAAAGACAAATTAGTCTTCTAGCACAAAAAAAAAATGGTGGGCAATAATGTAATTTCACAGGTTCAAATTTTACAATTTTTTATTGAAACCTCACCTACATGTGATGTTAAAATACCTCCAATATTAAAAATAAAATAAAATAAAATAAAACCTCCCACTCCCCCCCCCCACGTTCTCTCTCCCTCTCCCTCTCTCCCTCTCTCCTTCTCATTTTCTAAAAAAATGTGTTCATATACAAAGTATGTAGGCAAATGCTAGTAACTATTATGAAAGCCGTATCTATGAGATATATTAATTGAATATAACAAATTCAAAATGGCAATCATGATCACGGTCGAATTTTTGACCACGTAGGGTTTTTTTTGTTGTTGTTTTTAATTAGGTTTTTGATCGCGGGCGGCCTAGTTGATAATCTGATTCTGCTCACAGGCAACAATATGTTTTGAAAGATAATTAAATAGACCTCCCTGTATATAGATCTCTGACTTCAATCTTTGTTCATGTACAAAACCCTAGTTGCATTAGGATATTACATATTAGGCCTCATTTGGCAGCTCGGACTGTACTGATTATTTATGTCGGATAGGATAAATAGCCATCGGATAGTACTAACTAAATTAATCGGGCGTTTGGTGCAGTATCGGACTAATAACCGTATTATTTATACTATGTTTGGTACTGAACAGATAAGAAAAGGGAAGAAAAAAAAATTGACAAATCTTTGTTTCTTTGTTTGTTGAGATCCAAGATGAAGCGCCGAAGAGTCTGCGGTGGAGGAAATAAAGAGAGATGCAGCGGCGGAGAAGAGGGAGGGAATTCCTACAGTAGCCAGAAGAAGACACAGGGAGAGAACTGAAGAGTCTGTGGTGGAGGAAGTAGAGAGAGATGCAACGGTGGAGAAAGATGCAGTGGCGGAGAAGAAGGAGGGAGATCCTGCGGTAGCCAGAAGAAGATGCAGGGAGAGAAGAGTCTTGTTCTGGGTGGTTGGATGGAACTTGCTGGTGGTGGTGGTTCATGGTGGCTGGCGGAGGAATTAGGTTTTGGGATTTGTGGGATTCTTTGGTTTCTTGGAAGCTACTTGGAACTTTGGGGAGTTTTGATTGGGAAAATGGAGGGAGTGTGGTTGGTTTTTGTAAGCAGAGAGAGCAGCTGGGAAGAAGAAGAGAGAGAGGGGAAACGAAGAAGAACAGCAAAGGGAGGAAGAAAGCCCCGACTAAATTGTCCTGTGGTTTTGGATAGTATAAGGAAGCGGGTATTCACCGGATAAAATAGGTGGGTCGGATTATTTAATCCGATGTCTATTTAATATGAACGGACACCAAACACCGTACTTCGTATAATTAGTACTATCTGGTGCTTTATATGGTGTGTCAAACGAGGCCTTAGTGTCTTGTTGACTGTTTCCCTTCATTTCCTCCTCAGTTTAGGGTGATCTACGTGCATGGCCCCACTTTAGTTGTTTTCCTATTCAGTTTGTTTTTGCTCACCATTAATACCCATGGATTTAACAATTGATTGGCAATCTAAACTTACCATTAATATATCTTCTTTATGTGGATGTTTTGCTTGTTTGTTTCACTTGTGGCATGGGCACAAGAAGAATGAATGTCGAATGAGTGTCGATGACTGAGAGTGAAGATGAATACACTACAAGAAAAAGCTTCACTCGCTTCAGTGGTTTAAGCGTCTCTACTTTTGTTTATATCTTTAAACAATAGAAACAATGCTTCTACAAATTGGTGATCTGTTTGTTCTATTGTTGTAGCTATTGATGTCTAGAGACAGAACCAAGATGCGTCCCTCAGTTTTTCAGAATATTGCAATTAAGCTCTGGCACAAGTCTCGGTGCTTGCTGTCACACCTTCTCTTGCGTATTCAAAAGATATTTAGGGTTTTTAATGGGGGAATGTTTTTTATTGTGTGAAATTCGAGGGTAAACCAACGCAACCAACACTCCAAAACCAAAAGAGTTCATCGTGAAAATAAAGTGTTTAATCCCTTCATAACCCATCATATAGGAGAAAACGCACAAAACAACCAACAAAACTAGTAAGCATAGCCAACTCTGAGGAGGAACTGTACAAGAAACTAACTAAGCTACTAGTTGCATCAGGTAAACCAACAACAAAGCATCGCTACAATAAAAGACCTTGCGCACAAAAACCAACAACTAAGCTACTGGTTGCATCAGGTAAACCACACCAGTACCACCATGAGATACGGCAAAAGACACAAGCTCACAAAGAACAATTTAGTATGGACAACAGCCACACTACCATCTAGAAAAAACTCGTCTCACAAAAATTAAGCTCAATATCGTGCCAAACCCACACTACCCCAAACAACCTAAATAAACAAACTTAAATCGCTAAATTATGAGTACTGCTGTCACCACCTGAAGAGAGCCGCCATCAAACCAACTACATCTATTAAAAACAATTAAGATTAAAAAGCGAATCTTAAGAAGACTCAATCTCGAGCAATCCAATTAACTTCATAAACAGAGTGACTTTAGGTTTAGAGGAGTGGATTATATCATTGCTCTCGGTCACGTATGTCACTCAAAGTTGACAAATTGCTAGGTGGTAAAAGGTACCACACCAGTGACGAATGGATGATATCATTAGAGCTAGCTATATGTCAAGCCTTGTGAGCGTTGATCAAAACTTCAAAAGTCCAACTTGAGTTGGTACCGTTTGCACCCCCCCTCTCTCTCTCTCTCTCTCCCCTCTCCTCCTCTTTTAATATTAAAAAAATCTAATGAGGGTCTCTGAAAAAATAGGTGTTTTCATCAATTTTCTATTATCTTATATTTTTGGAACAATGTTTTATAATGTTTGTACGAAATTAACGTCAAAATATAAAGTGACCGAGAATTTATAAAGAGTCTCACTTTGAAAAAGTCAACGTACAATTTATCTTCCTCTCAAAAGCAATCAACCTCTAGATTGTAGAATGTTCAATGCATCTAATACAATAACATTACAAATTTGAATAATTCCAGTAGGTGCTTGTGCTATATAATATCCATTCTGCCATAGGTGGCTTACATCAATGGAGTAAATAATTGTCAACAATGTTAGGCTGTGGCTGACTCGTTCTCGGTTATTTTAAGAGAGAGAGAGAGAGAGAGCTGAGCTGAGCTCAGAGAGGTCTGAACTAGATGGGAAATGAAGGGTATTTGCCATTGTTCGAGACGAGGAGAGCCAAGGGAACAGTCCTGTATAGGGTTTTTGCAGCATCTATATTTGCAGGAATATGTTTGATTTGGGTTTATAGATTGAGTCACATACCAAAAGCAGGAGAAGATGGAAGGTATGGTTGGATTGGACTATTGGGTGCTGAGATATGGTTTGGTTTTTACTGGCTCCTCACTCAGGCCTCCCGGTGGAACCGTGTGTATAGGTACACCTTCAAAGATAGGCTATCTCAAAGGTACTTTCGTGTATGTATTTCTAACTTCATACTCATTTTTTTATATTTGTTATCCAACAAGTATCATTCATGAAATTTGAACTCAGATACGAGAATGAATTGCCGGGAGTGGACGTATTTGTGTGCACGGCAGACCCAACCATTGAGCCGCCGATGATGGTGATTAACACGGTTTTGTCAGTGATGGCTTATGATTATCCGCCGGAGAAGCTGAGCGTCTATCTGTCCGATGATGGCGGGTCGGAACTTACGTACTATGCTCTCTTGGAGGCTGCTGAGTTTGCAAGGCATTGGATACCATACTGCAAGAGGTACAAAGTGGAGCCAAGGTCACCTGCTGCTTATTTTGTCACAGTATCTGCTGATGCAATTGATGATGATCAGGCTAAAGATTTCTGGGTTGCTAAGGTACACAAATTTTTCTGTATTGGATCAAATTCAGAATTTGTGTAACTTATTATATTCGTGACAGCCCAAAAAGCCAAGAAGATAACGTAAAGATAACGACTAAATGGGTCCACTTATTTTTGTTTTTCCCAAAACAGCAAAGCATGAGTTATGGGTTTCCTCATGTGTAATGGTGAATGTTTTTAACCACTAAATCTAAGAGTTCTTATCTTTACTAATTAATTAAACTCCTTTTGTCAATCAAAAGAGGATGAAAAGACAAATTAGTCTTCTATCAACAAAAAAAAAAAAATGATGGGTAATGCTGTAATTTCACAAGTTCAAATTTTACAATTTTTTATTGAAACCTCACCTACATGTGATGTTAAAATACCTCCAATATTACAAAAAAACCTCCCACTCCCCCATGTTCTCTCTCTCCCTCTCTCCTTCTCATTTTCTAAAAAATGTGTTCATACACACGAAGTGTGTAGGCAAATGCTAGTAACTATTTTGAAAGCAGTATCTGTGGGATATATCAATTGAATATAACAAATTCAAAAGGGCGGGAGACTAAATATTTAGTTATATTTTGTAAATTATATGATATCATTGTGAATGATTGAATTATTATTTAAGTATTAATAACGTGCTTATTTTTTTTTTATTAATGACACATCATATAATTTATAAATTTGGTCTAAAAATTTGGTTTACTTAGCATTACTTAATTTGCAAGACAAAAGAGGATGAAAAGACAAAAGAGGGTGAAAAGACAAATTAGTCTTCCAACACAAAAAAAAATGATGGGCAATAATGTAATTTCACAGGTTCAAATTTTATAATTTTTTATTGAAACCTCACCTACCGGTGATGTTAAAATACCTCTAATATTTAAAAAAAAAAAAAAAAAACCTCCTACTCCCCCCCCCCCACATTCTCTCTCCCTGTCCCTCTCTCCCTCTCTCCTTCTCGTTTTCTAAAAAAATGTGTTCATATACAAAGTATGTAGGCAAATGCTAGTAACTATTATGAAAGCCGTATCTATGAGATATATCAATTGAATATAACAAATTCAAGAGGGCAATATGAGGGAGACTAAATTTTTAATTATATTTTGTAAATTATATGATATCATTGTTAATTATTAAATTATTATTTAAGTGTTAATTAGCGTGCTTATTTTTTTTTTATTAATGACACATCATATAATTTATAAATTTGGTCTAAAAATTTGGTTTACTTAGCATTACTCATTTTGCAAGACACCTTTCTTTTGTATCAAAATTTAATTATTGTTTTTGTAAATTAGGATTGTTTATAACATATCGTTTTATAAAAAAATAAAAATCAGCCATGAGTTTTTTGACAATTTTCAAGTTAGTATTTTGGTCATTGACCAAGAGGAATATTTTTTCATGTGTATCTGGAACAGTTGCTAAGAGTATGATTGAGATAATAATGTTCAAATGACACAAATTTTTTATTTATAATTTTATTCACTAAATTATTTGTATGAATGCATCTTAATAAAATTAAATGAAGTTGAAAGTAGGCCTAAACTGAAAATAATAAAATAAAGTATACTAGACCTAGTAAACAAGTGCAAGTGGTTTGTAATCTTTTTTTATTTATGAAAGGAAGTGGTTTGTATCTTTTTACGATCTCTTGTCACCTTTTTAATATTGCCTGTATATTAAAAAAGAAAATTATTATTGACATTCTAATAGTCTAATCGTCCGCGTCTAAAAAATTTAAAGTGCATAATTTATTTTTGAAGTGTCAATAATAATTTCTTTAGAAAAATATATCACCAAAACAATTAGCTGAGCATAATAATGGGCTTAGGATATCGTCCTTGGAGATAATTTATGCAAACAGCAATGAAGGTGTTCACATTTCAAAGTAATACTAACGGTAGTAAAATAAGTTTGGGCAGTCCAGCCCAATTTATATTGATTAGTTCACTAATACCTGTTTTCTGAAATTTTTGCTACAGAAATCATACAAAGAAATGGAGAATCAAATCCAAAATGCAGTGAAGCTAGGCAGGATTTCAGAAGAAGTACGATCAAAATGCAAAGGCTTTTCTCAGTGGGATCCAAATTCATCCAGACGTGACCATGACACCATTCTTCAAGTACGTATGAAACTAATTTGACACTCAAATGATCTCTTTTAAAGAAAAAAAATGCAATTCATGGTCATAGACTCATAGTTAACAACTACGACAACAACAAAGACTTACTCTATTAAATGGAGTTGGCTGTATGTCCTAGAACAGCAATGCGCTCGATTTTGTGTCAAGTTATTCGTTCGCTTCAAGTACTCCATGTCTTTTCTCAGATCATAGTAAAACAGTGGAAAGAAAAAACAAAGTTAAACTATTCCACTACTGTCTGATATTTGATGTGTACTAATTAAACGCTTCTTCCAGATTCTAATTGATGGGAGGAACCCTAATTCAGGAGATGTTGAAGGGTGTGTATTGCCAACTTTAGTGTATTTAGCTCGGGAGAAAAGGCCTCAACATCACCATAACTTCAAAGCTGGCGCTATGAATGCTCTGGTAATTATAAACTTACATCTATCCGGTGGTTTTTTTTTTTGGTACAAGAGAGACTAAAAGGGTGAGGATGTGTACGATAGACGTTCCCACCTGACCCTCGCAAAAGCAGGGAGCCTTGTTGGTTTGGGATCGCCCT